TCGGCTGAGACGGAGCCTCAGTGCACTACGCTGTACCGAGTGCCTCGCATTTAAATCCAGTGCCCTCTTTTCAGACCTCCTCTGACGTGAGCTCTCTTGTGTCATGTCTCCCAAAGGACAAACATCACTCTTACAGAAATGTCCTCTTTTTCCTTTCTTCCGTGGCATTCCTCCCTCTTGGCTTGCTTCTTCGCTTGTTTTAGAACTCCCCTCACATCTCTCTTATTCTTCCATGTTCTCATTTTAAATGTCTTTCCAGCTGTTCACTGGATTCCTCCACTTAGATGTCCAACAGACATTCAGGATTGCCCTCTCCTTTCCCAACAAAGTGTTGTTTAACTAGTTGCTTGTATTAAATATTGAATACCTTAGAGTTGTATTTTAACCATAGTAATCACTTTTTTAAAAAATTCTCATGGTATTATTACTTTATTCCGTAAAATCTTTGAGTATCTTGTCTGCTGCCTGGCAGATCAGAGCTCCCTTCCTAGCCTGGCTCCCAGAGCTATTCACTGTCTGCTCCCTGTCGATGTTTCTGCCCTTCTGTCCTGTCTAGCTGCGTGCCTAGCACATCAAGGGCACTCACTGAGCAGCGCATGGTAAGTGGGTGATGCCTAAAGACTTGACGTTTTCTCTCCCAAGGGCAGTATGAAATTCTCCTTATGTAGGTATGACATATGTAAGTTTACTTCTCAGTAGTTTCTATCATGTTCAAATGATAATAGTGTAAAGATTAATAATCTGTAAGCTATTTTAAGGACTTTGTTTTAAAAATTAATTAATGTAATGTATGAGAGGGGACCAAAAAACCCAGAATTTATTTGTAAAAAACTGTGTAGTCTTCCATGTTTAAACTTCAGTCACCTTCAATGCACTCTCCATTTGATGCTATACACCTATCGAGACTTTTTTTTCCACTGCTCAAAAGTTTTTGAACTCGTCTTTTTTGATGACTTCTAGTGCTCCTGCTGTTTTTTATTTCACCTCTTCCACATTGGCAAAATGTTTCTCTTTGAGACTTCTTTCACCCGGGGAAACAAACAAACAAACAAACAAAAACGTCGCTTGGGGCCAGATCAGGTGACTATAGAGGGTGGGGCACAGGGGTCCTGCCATTTTGGTCAAAAACTGCTCAACACTCAGCGCACAGTGGGCAGGTGCACTTGTAAATCCCCAATCATGAGATGGGCAAATGGGTTGGAAGAGTCTTCAGAAAAATTCACTGAGGCCGAATATAACCTCTCACAACAGTGCCAACTGGTGCACTGACACAGATGGGTTCCTAGGTCACTCACCCAGGGGGGAAGCCTGCTCTACAAGAGGTCTGCCGTCCAGAAGATAATTTTTTGCGGGGGAGGGTGGTCCCTCTCTCACATGTGCTGAATTGTGCCCCGCCCAATTCTTATGTTGAAGTCCTGATCCCCGGCACCTCAGATGGGGTTTTTAAGAAAGTAATTAAGTTTAAATGAAGTCATTGGGGTAAGCCCTCATCCAATATGACTGGTGTCCTTATGAGAAGATGGGATTTGAGCACCGACACCCACGGCAGGAAGACCAGGTGTAGGCACAAGGAGAAGATGGCCGTCTCTAGCCAGAGGGAGAGGGCTCAGGAGCCTCAGAGGCCTCGGTGCTGCTGCCTCAGTCTCAGACATTTAGCCTCCAGGTCTGTGAGCAAATTATTTCTGTTTTTAAAGCCATACTGTCTGGCCTACTAACAGCCTTAGCAAACTGGTAACACCAGTGTCTTTTAGCTCACTGAGGGTTTAAGTCCTGTACCTAAGGACTTTATCCTTAGGAGGGGGCCGGACCAGGATCTAAGAGAGCCTCTCTGCTCCTCCCATCTCAGAATTCTTTGAGGTATTTTAAATTTGTCCTAGGAAAAGAGGGCCATCCTTCCCTTTTGCAGACTACTCAACACTTGTGATCAGCTCCTAACAACTGGCTTTTTCATTTCCCTTTTGGGATTATGTATCTATTTCTCTGGAAGATACAAACAAAGCAAGAAACCATTGAAATTATAGTTAATCCCCATTTACTGCATTGATTTAAACAGATAATGAATTAGAAATTTTCCAGGCTCTCATTTTATTAGCTGGAGTACAGTAAGTTCTCTCTGCAGTGGGTAGCTACGCCAGCTGTAGCGCCAGATTTCCAGAGGAGGTATTTGCTGCCATGAATTTATGTGCTTTAGAGCAGTTCTCTTGAGGTTCTGGCCCTGGGGGGAAAGTACTCTGAGTCACTAAAATTTGGTTTATTCAGGTTTTCTTAGTCATATTTCAGGTTCCATGTTGTCAGCCTCAAATGCCTTAGCCTCCACCTCCCCCTCTCTCTCTTCTATCCAAATCCTTAGCAGTGCTTGTAGTTGAACTTGGAAAATTTTATTGAATGGGTTAGAGACTATGTTGGAAAAGAACATAGGCATTTACTGACCATCTACTCAGATCAGATAGTCTCTGATCACCCCAGATTAAGTAATTTCAAACTCATTAAAGACCTTAAGAAGGTTCATTTGTATGCCTTCCTGTAATATTACCTTTAATACCTCAGGTGAGTGTGAGTCGATTTTATTTTATAAATCCAGAAAAAGAGACTATAATTTCTTTCTAAGAACGTACAATTTATTTGCTGTATCTACTCAGAACTCTTCAAGCTATGATCTTGAACTTGTTTCACCTTGTACTATCTAGTATAGGGTTAGAGGATATCGATCCACCATGTATAAAGCTCTTTTTCTTGACACATAAGGCATTATTAAATTGCCTTTCTCCCTTCTGTTTTCTAAACTAAGCTTTATTGGTTTTTTAGCCTTACAGGACTTATTTAAAATTTTTAATTATATGTAAGACTTGCTATTAAAGCCTCTCCATGTTTTTCGTAACTCTCTTTGGTGATGGATCCAGCATTGTTGAGTTTCGTCCGTACAATGAGAACACAATCAGTTTCTGCACTCCGTACTATAAATATAAATGTAGGCATTTTGGTTTTATGCTTAATTTTCATTTTTGATTTGGCTAATTAAAATGCATAGCAATTAAGCAAAAGACGATTATATAATTTTTTTCTTGATGGCAAAGGGTAGTCTAAGCAAATTTATTGCAGATAATCTTTTGACTTTACGTACATTGATACTCAGATTCCGAGAGGTCAGTAATGTAACCATCCCATTGACTAGAATCAATACCAAGAATTTTTATATCTACCTCATAGTCTTAGCATTGCCTTTAACTAACCGGATGATAGTAGATCACGTCATTTAACTTCTTTTTACGTCATTTCATTTATTGATGAAGTTGGAGAAGGTAGATATCAAGACTAGATGATCTCTAAGTTGTCTTCCAGCTCAGAAATTGTATTTTATAACCTACTCTAATAATTATTAACAGTTGATAAATTGTGGGTTTCAGTGGATAAGTATATTTGAAGCAAATCAGATTAATTACTTTGAAATATATTGAGTACATATATACTGACTACCACTACATGTGGGTGCTGGCAACACAATCCGAGACGTGTAGGAATAGAAACATAAAAATAAGTGCAATGGGATATTATTGGGGCTGTGGAAGAAACCTGGGGCATATCAGGGCACATGGGGAGTTTGGTGAATTTTGCTTGGTGGCTGGAGCTTCAGGAAAAGGCCGGTGATTCAGGGAACCAATTATGAAGTGGCCTGAAGAAGAGCCACTGCCAAGAAGTTGGGGGGCCAGCAGCTTGACTGTAGTGGATAAAGTTTGAGGGAGAGGAAGTAGAAATAGTGAGTAGCAGATGATTTTTTTCTCTTCAGGGAGGGTAGTGGGCAGGGATTGAAAAGGTTGTTTGTTTTTAAATATGGGTGTGAAGAGCCATTTTAAAGGCTTTTGGGGAAATGGCTTATAGAGAGGGAAAGCTTGTTCTGACGGAGATGAAGATGGAATTCAGAATGAACCTAAAAACAAGGTTGAGGATAGACAAGAGGGAAGCATAGATGATCAGATACGTGATAAAGCAACCATAGCAAGTCATTAATTGTGGCACCTAGGAAGTAGGTGAATGGTAATTTACAATTCTTTCAACTTTCCTGTATGTTCAAGAAATTTATAATAAAATGTTGGGAGGAAAACAAGAACAAAGATTGAGATTTTAGCTTTGAACAGAAAAGGGGGCACTTACTCCTTGTGGCAGCAGATGGCCAAGTTCAAGGTTAAAGCCTCAGCATCTTTTGTGAAGTCAGAGCCACTCACCTGCTGAGGCAGAAGGCCAGAGACTAGGGGTGATGAGAATGGAGGGTGGAATAACCACATGGGGTGGGGGAGGGGGACGGCTCAGCAGACCTGGGCTCAGGTCCTGGGGAAGTAGAGGAAGTCGTCAGGAGATGGCAGGTGAGCAGCGCACAATGGAATACAACTCAGCCGTCAGAAGAGATGAAATACTGCCATTTGGAACAACGTGGATGGCTCACGAGAGTGTCATGCCAACAAAATATGTCAGGCAGAAAAGGACAAGAACCGTATGATTTCACTCCTGTGGGATATAAAACGGAAAGCAACGAATGAACAAACAAAACCAACAAACAAATTCATTGACACAGACAACAGTAAGGTGGTTACCCAGGCGGAAGCCGGGTGGGAGGAGGTTGAAGAGGGTAAAGGGGGTCAAATACATGGTGGTGGAAGGAAGCTGAACTTTGGGTGGTGAGCACACAGTGCGGTACACAGATGCTGTATTATAGAATTGTACACTTGAAGCTTTTATAATCTTACTAACCAGTGTTGCCCAATAAGTTTAACAAAATAAGAAAAAAGGAAGGAGAAGAAAGGAATGAGTAGATGGGATGACTGATTCCTTCGATCGTTTCCCAGCAATCTGTTCTGGAACGAGTCTCAACCCCTTGGGTTCTATATTGGGGGGATTCTGTTTTCTACCTCATTATATTTTTATTTGAATGAAATGAGATAAAAATAATATTACACAACTGTGTTATTGTTAATATTTAACTAAGATAATTTTATTGTTTTTGTCAGGTAAAAGAAGAACGTCCAGAAAATATACCAGATCTAAAATTACTAGTGGAGAAGAAATTTTTGGCTTTACAGCATAAGAATTCTGATGCAGACTTTCAAAATAATGAAAAATTTGTACAATTTAAACAACAGCTGAAAGAACTAAAGAAGCAATGTAAGTCAGCATGCTTTGCTTTGCTTTGGCTTTTTGAAAATAGGGAACTGACTTGATGAACAGCCCCAGAAAGCTGATTTTATAAAGTTTGCTTATCTGCTTGGCTCAATCCTCTTTCTAAATGGCTTTTTATTGTTGTTGCAATTCTGTGTTTTGTCTAACTTTTGGTTCAAATCAGCCTGTCCATTTCTGAAAGCCAACAGTTTCCACAAAGTGCTAAGAAAATTTACACTGTGTTTTCCCCTGCTGAGGAGGGGAGTTGGTGGGGGCGGGGAGGGGGCACTGAAAACTATTTTATTAAAATAACAAAGGTGTTTTTCAAACTTTAAACTGCTGTGCCAAGCTTTAAAATAACTATACTTTGATTCTAGTTTGGTTGCTTTGGAATAGTAGAAACAATGTCTACTTAGACTATTTTTTTCTCCTTCAATATGGACGGAAATTCCCTTAATCCCTTCTGTCTTTATGGTAGTATAAATTCCATGTGATTTTGAAATTTGTTGCCTTCCTAGCCACCTTTATGATACTCAGTTTTTTTAATTAACATAAATTTGACTTAAAAATGAGAATGGGAAAAATGGTTTATTATATAAAAACTTCTATAGACAGTATTTGTCAGAAACAATACATCTTTCTACATAGTGAAGTATACAGATCCTTGTTTTCTTTTTTCCATGTAATTCACATAACAGTTTTATGTAATTTGATTGTTTTACCTTAGCATCAATTGTCATTTTTTCTTTTCTGCTTGAGGCTCTTTTATTGCTTAAAGAATTGAATAGTAAAACAAGTAACATTTTTTAAAACTTAAGTTTCACATCAGCATCGTTTGCATACACAGGGAACAAGAGGAATGTTGTATATGTCATACAGACTTATTTATGACTATTTGTACTAAGTACAGGGATTCATATTTTGAAATAGGCTTTCTGTTAAATATGAGCATTTTCTTTAAATTGATGCTGAGATCTCAAAAAATAACTGAGGAAGCTGCCTTACTTTTGTCTATTTTACAAATTAAGTTTCACAATTTGGAATGTTTTGCAATCATGGTGAGACTTTTGCTTTTACTGTAGATTTAAACAGTAAGCATTTCCCCCACATTTTAAGTCTATTTTCTGTTCTTCGCTGAACATGGCAGCTACCAAAATCTCTCTGGTATAATTTGCACTGTTGCCCCAAATGGGTAGTAATCACCCAGTTAATAATTTGCTAGTGGCTTTCTGGTCTTAAAGATGCTAGTGAATTTCAGTTTTGGTGGTGTTCAAAATAGCCTCAAATGTGTTTTATGTTACTGGTTGGTGCCAAAATCACAAATTGTGGCAGATTTAGTATCTGATCATAATTCCTGATTTTTTAAAAGATATTTTTAATGCAGGTTGAAGGATAAATATCCAAAAATATAAATTTCTCTCTCCTTCATTTTTTACAAAGTTATTCCATAAGAGAAAACTAAAGATTTTTAGAGTCATATGCTTATGGGGAAACATTATTCTAGTTAATAATGTATAATTCAACAAAATGATAAATGTTGAAAATCATAGCTGTTCTCTAATTCTCTCTAAAATTGGGGGACTGAGGGCAGAGATCCCCAGGCCAGCAGCACATCATTTCATCATTTGGGTAGATGGCTAAACCCTATGACAAAGTACATTTATATGGAAAGAAATACTTTCTTATATAAGATTTCTCTATATGGTAACACTAGAAATCAGACAACTTTCCCTTTTGTTTCTTCTAAAATACTCCTTTAAAAGTTTTTAAATTGCAAATAACAGAACAAGTAAAATATTAGTCCTTTCAAAGATGGGTATCCCTTAGTTGAAAAATATCATTGACAGAGCCTTCTTATTGGTGCTGCTGTCGATTAAACTTGCGCTAGGTCTAGTGGGTGTTATTTCTTTAGATTTAATGCTGCTGTGAGGGTGCTGATGAGCATCTGGTTCCCACAATTTTTGTGGAGCCAAGTTAGGGAGACTCTGATTTATAAAGGAGCCAGTGAAGTCAGTTTGTTTTGAGGTGTGTTCTCATGGAGGCAAGGAATTACAATAATTTTGTTTTCAAATATTTGAAAATACAAGCCAAGGAAAGGTAGATGCATCAAGCTGCCTGTTTTGGCAAAGTAAAGGCTGAAGTGTTTTTATGGTCTACACATTTCTGAAGGGTTCTTTCATGAAGGACTACCACTGTGTCTTCACCAAATTTATTATGCAAGAACATAAGTTGCATGGGATTAAATTTTACCAAATCAGGATCTAATCAAAGAAATGCCAGGAAGCTCTTAGGCGGGGAGGGTGAAGTTGGAGGCTGGAATCAGGTGGTCTGCCTGGTGGGTGGGCCTGGGGAAGTGCCCTACGGGCCGCAGTGGGCCACTGTGCCGGCAGGAATGAGTCAACCGGCTGTAGTCAGCAGTTCGTTTTCAAACTGTCTGGCCTCAAGATCCCTTTACATTCCTAAAACTTCTGAGGGCCCCCAGTGAGCTTCGGCCTACATGGGCTACAGCTGTGAACGTTTGTCATATTAGAAATCAAAACCGAGAAATTAAAAAAATTAATCCATTTTTAAAAAATCAATAATAAACCCGTTACATGTTAACATAAACAGCATTATGAATATCTGAAATACAATTAATATATTTTCAAAACATCAAGAATTAGGGAGAAGAGTGACACTGTTTCACAGTTTTGCAAATCTCCTCAATTTCTGGCTTAGCAGAAGGCAGCTGGATGCTCTCATTTGCTCCTGTATTCAGTCTCTTGTAACACATAAGACAAAGAGTCTGGCCTCACCTGCTGTTAGTCGGACTTGTTGACAGGGCCTTGCAGACCACCAGAAGGTCACACTTTGAAAACCTCAGAGCTGGGCCAGGGGTCAGTAAACTACATACAGCCGGTGGGCCAGATCCAGCCTGGGGGATAAGAATGGCTTTCATAATTTATAATTTGGGGAGAAGCATCATTTTTTGTACTATGTGAAAATTGTTTAAGATTCAGATTTTAGTGTCCATTAATGAAGTTGTATTGGAAGGTAGACACATTTATTTACATATTGTCTGTGGGTGCTTTACACTATAATGGCAGAGTTGAGAGGTGCGTCAAAGACCATCTGACCCACAAAGTTTATAGTATTTATTATCTGGCCCCTTTCAGAAGAAGTGTACTTACCCCCTGGTCTAAACCATAATCAGAAACAAGGGCAGGTTTTTTTGTTTTGTTTTGTTTTTAACTTGAGATTTTCCCATAAATACCATACATTTCTCTCAGGTACGTTCAGAACACTTTGAGTGCCTACAGTATGGGAATCATTGCAGTTGATTCTCTGACATAAATAAAAGGCAGAGTCCCGGTACTTGCAGAAGACAATCTATACAACCATGAAATAATGTGAGAACTATTAATCACAAATATCAAATCAAAAGCAAAGAAAGTATGTCAGAAACAAATGTGATATAGTGTGGAGAGGAGAGTCAGGCTAGGAATGCAGATATTATCTGGGTGGCTCATATTACCGGTCACTTGATAGGGGCTGCCTGGAGCTGTATGTCTGAGAAGATTCTGGGACTGGTGTCAAGGCCAGCAGGAACGGGCATGCGTGGGAAGGAGGCAATGCAGATAATCTAGTAGTTACCGTCCCTAGAATGCAAGCCTAAAAGATACACTGTACTCATTTGAAGATAGAATTACTCTGCAGGTACATCCTTCAGTAGCAGACAATATTTTTTTTTAATTAGTTTCTTAGGCCTCTTGGGTATTACCAGGCATTAGACCCAACTTCTCTGAACAGATCATCTTATCCCTGGCTACCAAGTATCCTGTAAATTTCAGATATTATGTTTGCCCAATTTACTTCTCAGGATTATTACTAAGCTCTAATGAGAGAGTGGATCTTTGCGAACTCCAAAGTCTTAGTTTAGATTTAAGTTAGTGTAGGGAAAGAGTTAGGCCAGCATAGTGGAAAGAGTATGAGCTCAGCAGCCAGAAGACTTTGTTTTGAGTCACTCAGTGTGTAGCCTGGTCCTCCTTTTGTTGCCACCCATTTTTCTTAGTGCTCTTTCTTTGAGTCATACAGACCAAGACTGCGCGGAGACAATTTCTGCACTTCCGGGCAAGATGACTGCGATGGGGGTGGTGACGGTGCCCGAGTTAGGGAGCAGTTTCACAGAAAAGAATTCCGTTTTCCTAAGAGATAATCATGCTCTTAGTAACCCAAGTTGTGGAATAAAGAGTATCATTTGGTTTGAGGCAGACATAACCAGACTTTTTTTGGATGGAATTATTTTAATTGAAACAATATGTCCAGGTAATAGTCTCTCTTCCTTGCCTTTTTTACTTCAAGCGTCCACACTATTACAGTTTTCTGCACTTTTATCATCAGGAGAACTTACTGAGAGTGTGCAGACACCTCAGCATAGGCCCCCGCTCAAGTCCTCAAGCAACCCTTCTGGCATCCTTGGTTCGTTTTCCTGATTCCATGGTTAGCAGGCCTCGGAAGCTTTAGTGGAGGTCAGCAAGGCAGAAGTGGAGGACATTAGACAAGAACTGGCACTTAGAAACCTTCAAAATGTAAGGACTTCATTTGTGGTCAAAAATAGAATTGACTGTGAATCTGAGAACTTTAGTATTAAAATAATCTTATACAAAATGTATAGTTTTGTTGGTACTTTCAAATGTTAAGAATAAATGAGAGCATGTCTTTTAAATCCAAACTTGCTGATATGAAGATGCTCACAGATTTAACAGTAGGTTTACAGTTCATATAGAAAATAATACAGTAATTATAGTAATAAATTATAATACAAGAATAAGCTTTTTCCATATGTAAAATATATAGAAAATAAGATACTGGGATATTTGAATCCATGAATGAAACTTAGAAATCGATTTCAGTGTCAATAACATTTGTATTTGGTTATATGTAGAAACATAGGAATTTACGCTCTCATCTTATAATTATATGGATTCACAAATTAACTATATCTTCTCCTTTCAGCATGCTCAGTC